AAAAAAAAAAAAAAAAAAAAAAAAAACGCGCTGTTTTTTTTTTATGTTTTTTTTTTAAATACCGTCACTCACTAAACCCCCCCCCACAAAAAATAGTTTTTTATTATTATTATTATTTATTTATTTATTTTTAAGGGGGTGGGGCTGGGTTTGCGCCGCCCCATGGCGCTTCCCAAATCCCCAACACCCCTCCCCAATGGCCGCGACACGGCCGCAAAGTTCTGCGGCCGCGCGGGCACGTCCGCGGGGGTCACGGACTCGGCCGCGCTTGTCCGCCGCCGAGGGAGTTTCATAGCATACTCCCACTAAGCCCCTTTCCAGGACTGGATCACAAAATATGCATGGTAGCACTAACCTTTCGCAAGAGACCCGATCGGGGACCAGGGTACTATAAACTAAACACATCCCTTTTGCAATTAAAGTTTTTCCAACAATACCTTCGGCATGCCTGAGACTATTGGAAAGAACGACGACCTGAACTAGACAGTCATATCACATGGTTTAACAATGGCTTAATATACCTCGCAAAGAAAAGCAACGAATACTCTACGAGTATCGCAGCCCAGAGATACCAACAGGAAATTGAGATAATGTCCCAACTCTTAGATCTGGAACAACAAGAACCGCCGCATACACCGGACCCCCTAAATCAAAGGGAAAACATGCACATTCAGGAGTTAAAAGATCAACTATTCAAACAAGCTCAATATCGCTAGCAAGGCGCAAGCATCCGCGTGAAACTCTCTAAACACAAAACGGAAGGTGCAATGGACGCACATTTTTTTGGCTTAGCACGAGCGAAAGCAAGGCACAATACCATCGAAGCTCTATATGACCCAGATGGGGATGAAGCATCACCCGCCTTGACGACACCAAGATGTATGAAAATAGCCCAGGATTTTTACAATGACCTTTTTGCCTCACACATCCCACCTATTGATGAACGGTCCCGCCAACTAGAGATAGACAACTTCCTGGCCCCCCTGAACATGTCTCTCTCCCAGGCCAAAAGAGAGCGCCTTGAAATCCCCCTCTCCAACCAAGAGATCTGGATGACCCTCATGCAAATGGAGGAGGGTAAATCGCCAGGGATCGACGGTTTCACAAAAGAATTTTGGGAAACAATGTGGGACTCGCTCAATCAGGACCCCATGAAATTTTATGACAAAGTGTGGGAAACAGGGAACATGGGAGAGATGGTGGGCAAAGGAGTGCTTACCCTACTCTATAAAAAAGGTGATAGTATGAACATACGAAACTATAGGCCAATCACCTTGCTCACAGTTACGTACAAACTATTGGCTAAAGCACTGGCCAACAGGATGATTCCAGTTATAGAAGATATCATCCACCCGGCGCAAACAGGGTTCATGCAAAACAGAAATATCCAAGAGAATATACTTCTAGTACATGAGGTATTACAACTGACCAGACACTCAAACCAGAACGCTGCACTGGTGTTCATAGATTTTGAAAAAGCTTATGATCATGTAGATTGGGAGTTCTTGGACAAGTGTCTTCAAATAATGAATTTTGGGCCGGTGTTCAGGAGATGGATACCAATTCTCCACCAAAACGCCACCACAAGCGTACAAATAAATGGCTCGCTTGCCCCTCCCATAAAATTGGAACGCTCAGTGCGACAAGGAGATCCAATAGCCCCTTTCCTGTTTTTAATTATCATGGAAGCCCTATCTGCAAATATTCGAAAAAACAAGAACCTCTCACGGATTAAAGTAACTCACATCCCCGAAGAGGCAGTCCCGATATGCTCATTGTTCGCAAATGACCTCACAATAATGGTAGAAGCCACGACCAGGAACGTAGAAGAAATCCAGAGAGTGATGGAGCATTTTGCCCAGGTGTCGGACATAATGGTCAACTGGGGGAGTAAGACACAAGGATGGTGGATCCACTCCCAAGGTGGGCGCCCCCCGGAGTCTCCTCGCATCTCGTGGCAACCCTTGGAGACCCCGATTAGAATCCTGGGAATTTCAATGACAGCAACAGGTTGCCCACCAAATAACGACGAATGGATTAGGGCACCGGCCCTGGCCAAGCAAGCCAACTGGGGAAATAAATCCACCTCCCTCCTGGGTAGGGCATTGGCGATAAACAACGTGATATTCGCCTCTCTATGGTACAAATCCTTGGTCTGACCTCTAAGCAAAGAGGCGGTATGCATTCTAAAAACTAAGGTGGCGGCTTTCTTATGGCGGGGGGATGGCGATCTGGAAAACATTATCAGCAGGGTAGCAAGGGACTCGGTCATCCAACCCAAAAGAGCAGGAGGGCTAAGGATAATAGACCCAACAACGCAAGCCCAAACCCTGTGTCTCCAATGGATCAAGAAACTGGTTTTCGACACGGACAGTGTAGCGGACCCACCAGGTGTGGTGCTCCGCTAGTGACAGAGATGGAGATGGAGGAAGAAGGGGGGAGCAAGATGGCACAACGCAGCTCCCCACGCACGACTCCAACGCACATACTCCAAAATGTGCAAGTGAGGAATGAGAATGAAAACAGACAATGGCTGGGGTATACCCCAGCGGACTGACGGGACTGGACTGGACTGGCTGGTACCGACAGAGGTACCGGCCTGGACTGGCCTACCCCGAATATAACACAGGCCTGTGAGAACAGGCCAAGGGGTTGGTCTCACAGGCCAACCCGAGGTCCGCTACACGATCCTCAGCTTGTGATGGATCGCCTAGATACAAACATGCTTCCGCCAAGAAGCGGAACTCTACCAAAGAAAAGAAAACCTGAGTAGTCTAGGATGCGGAGCAAGCTCCATGYTGAGTCCATGCGATGCAACCTAGGATATAAAATGTCACAAAACAGCAATGTCACASTTAACAGCCTAAGTGAAAGTAGGAGCAACTAACTAACATACATGTCCTAGGAAAGCAAAAAGTAGTGACAACTAGATCCTAGAATGTTGGAGGCACTAGCCTCAGTCTGGTAACAACTGACTAGTGTAGAAGTCCTAAGAACAGCAAAAGCAGAGCAACTAAATCCTAGAAACGTCGGAGGCAGTAGCCTCAGTCTGAGAGCAACAAAGCAATCAACAAGACAACCATATGTCACATGAGAAGTGTGTCGCACACCAAAGGGTGGGATGGTCTCTGAGGGTGGCGAATGCAGCCTAGGGGTCGAAAACTCCTAAGGGCATCCACACATAGTGACAGGGGAAAACACATGTCATCAGGCTCAATGAGGGTAGGGAACTGGGAGCGAACAGAACCAATGACCCTAACAGATAGACCATCAAGGCGGGTAATGCTCGACTAAGGGGTGACTGCTATGGAGGGTCGACCATGCAAAGGAACAAGGGAGCCTGGTATACTGGGCGCACCTAGATTAAGCATGCGGGGCTGCCTAACTAGGGCGTGAGGGCCGACGAAGGGTAGAAAGATGATGGGTACGGGAATCATGCAAATGACTCTTAAAGTGAGGGAAGTCGGAGCTAGATCCGTAAGATGGGAAGCCAGGGCAACGCTACGGTCCCGATGCCTATGCGTATACCAAGGGAGAGCCCAACTCAGAGGAACCCGGCTAAAGGGAGACCATCATGCGACACAAGCAGGGTACTATACACGGTAGAGTGGTAAGAGAGTGGCGACGTCTGAAGTAGGCAGAGCTGATCGTGATGAAGTCCATAAAGCCGCCGATGACGTCCACGATGAGAAGTCCGGAATGCCGTCGAGGAAGAGCTGCAGCGTCGACGAGTTGAAGTAGCAAAACTGATATGGATGGAGTACTGAGAAGTCAAAGACGTGGGAAGGTAAGTCAGAGTCAATCGTCGTATCGAGCAGGACGACGACGAGTGCGTTGTGGACGCTCAGAGGCATCCGGCTGCTGCTGAAGGTCTGCCTCAGATGGAGCAGGCTCGACTTCAGCGGTCTCCTCAGCCGGAGGAGAAGGAGGAGGGTCAGTGGGTTGAGGAGGAGCAGTGAACCCAGCACGACGAGCACGGTCATAGGCACGCACCAACATGCGAGCGTGCTGCAAGTGCTCGAGGGGCTCCCAGGTAGCCTCCTCATCAGGGTAACCCTTCTAACGTACGAGATACTCGATGTGGGGAGGGTTGTCGTCGGTGACTCGGCGACCAATGATGTCTGAAACGAGGAACTCCTTGTGGCCGTCCACCATGATGGGTGGAGGGCGCTCGTATGGTCGTCCAGCGAAACACTCAGACGGTCTGCGGTAAGGACGCAGTAACGAGACGTGGTAGACATCATGCACACGAGCCTGGCGTAGGTAGTCGGGCAGCTTCACACGAAAGCTGACCGGGCTAGATGTCGTATCAGAACCGACGGCCTGGAGGATGCGGCCTGGGCCAAAGAAGCGACGCCGAAACTTGCGAAGCGTGTCCGCTTCGAGATGTAAGTGGCGGGCGTTGATAAGCACATCATCACCGACCTTGAATGGGTGATCCATCCTCGATCGGTTCGCACGTGCTGCCATGCGAGTCTGGGAAGCGGCTATGTGCTCATGTGCGGTCTTCATAATCGACGTCATGTGTGCAACCCAATCATCCAGCGCGGGACAACTCGTGTCGGGGTGCATCTGGGACGGTCGAAGGAAGTCCGCGGGAACACGCGGGTGATAGCCGAGGTCGCAATAGTAAGGCGACATCCCCGTGGCTGGCGAGACGGCGTGGTTGTAGGTTATCTCCGCGTGGGCAAGATGAAGATCCCACTGCTGGTCGTCACGAACAATCTTTCGGAGAATATCCCCGACAGTCCTGTTCGTGATCTCGGTCTGACCATCAGTCTGAGGATGGTAAGACGAGGAGAAGCGGAGCTGAGTGCCGTACACCTCGTGGAGCCGTCGCCAGAATCGGCTGGTAAAGCGCGGGTCACGGTCAGATATGATGCTCAGAGGTAAGCCGTGGTCACGCACGACTCGGTCAAATACGATGTCGACGACCTCACGTGCACKGRTGGCATAGCGGCACGGAACAAAGCGTGCACGCTTCGTGAAGCGGTCGATGACGACCAGGATAGCATCATGACCGCGGGGGGTCGGAGGTCGAAGAGGACCGATAAAGTTCATCGAGATGGACTGCCAACGCCCCTCAGGGATAGGAAGAGGCTGGAGCAAACCATAAGGTAGGTGGTTCACATTGTTCACCTCCTGACAGGTGGGACACTCTGCAACGTAGTCCTTCACAAAGTCCTTGCGCTTCGGCCAGATGTACAGG